TTTCACTAGTCGTAATTAGTGTTAATCAACCTCAACCCAAATTGATTAGTATGTTTAGGACTTTATTTTCCATTTTTGTGATTTGAGCGATTGAATAGTGAGTAAAGCTCTGAATAGCCTTCCCTCGAGATCGACCCGAGTCGGGTAGCTCGGTTATCCCTTGCCCACCAAATTTATACTAAACAAATGGCGCCGTTGCCGGGGAGGGCAAGTAGGACGCCTAATTTGTTATTTGTTTGTTCCTTTTTCTCGTGTTTCTCTTGTTTCGTGTGATTTTGCTTAATTTTTGTATTTCTCTTTATTTCTCTTGATTTTCTAGGTAATTTTTGTTTTAGTTTGTGTTTTCAATTTCGATTTTTCCCTTGCTTCCCATTGGTGTGTTCACGGGTATAGTTTGTGGTTTTGTTTATGCGAGGTAAACGAGGGCGTAAACCCCGAGAGGAGCCACCGCCATTCGACCTTTTCGTTGAACTCAATATCAAAGAACCACAACCCGAGCCCGAAATCGAATCAATGGCGGACAAGAAGACCAATTGCCACCACCACCTCCTCCGAACATGAGATATTTTGCACGGCCTATCATTGGAGACAACACTTCATGTGTCGTGCTCGGAGAGGCGGCTCAAAACTACGACCTTAAGATCATCCATCTAAACGAACTCCCGTCATTCTATGGCCTTCCCCAAGAGGATGCCCTCAATTTCATCCGAGACTTCTATGCAACCGTCAACACATTCCCTCTCCAAGGCCTAACCGAGAACCAACTTCGAATGAGATGCTTTCCCTACACGTTGAAGGACCGAGCCAAGACTTGGTTCATGACCTTGCTCCCGAATTTGCTCACAAATTGGGAAACCGTGTATGAAAAGTTTATGGTAAAGTATTACTCACATCAAAAGACTACCGATCTCCGGACCCAAATCGCAAGCTTTAGCCAAAATGTCGGGGAAACCTTCCACGAGGCATGGGAGCGGTTCAAGGGGTATCAACTTCAATGCCCCCTATCATCACTTTTGCCTCGGGGTGCTAAATCAATTTTTCTATGATGGTCTCCACCAAACCCTCCAATATATGGTAGACCATGCGGCCAGAGGGGATATTGGGAGCCACACGGCCGAGGAAATCTACGAGCTTTACGAGATGTTGAGTGAGAATTCCCAACGGAAGAGCGTACGCAAGAAGACCCCCATAAATGAGGCTACACCATCAACCAGGTCTTCGAACGATGCCGTTCTTGCCAAGCTAGCCTCGTTGGAGGAGGAACTTAAACAACTAAGCTTGAGAGATGTGAAGTCCACTCAAGTCGTTATGGCCGAGGTGTGTGGTTGTTGCAGCGAGACGGGACATGGAGGCCATGAATGTCCACGCTATATGGAGTCGGGGTATCGGCCCGATTTTGATTTGGACATATAGAACAAATCTTCCCACCACCACTTCTTCTTTTTATTTTTTATTATGACTTTGACTCAGATGCAAGTCTTAATATGTCAATTCAATTGGGCCTTTCTGTGTCTGTCGGCGAAGAAAGGGCAAATAGAGCCTAGGTTTCTTTTTTTTCGATGGACTGCTAGCTGACGATTTCTGTTAAAAAATCACAACTATCTTCAAC